TTTTTTTTCCAGGAAATCAACATACAGAGTAAGACATTGGAAATCCTTAGACGATAGCTAACCTAAGCAAAGATCCTATGGTGTTTGCATGTTGATAGATTTCCCAACCATGACCAAGACTATTATCTGCTAAATTTTCCCAAATTCGCAGCATTCTTTCATCATCAAGATATTCTGGACATTTTGCATATCTGCAAAAGAAGAATTAAAAGAAATGCTAGCGCAAAAAAAACCTAATAAATAAAGACTACGAACTTGTGTACAACTTTCCATAGCAATGAATAAAATAATCGTTGACGGCCGTGAGGGAATGTCTGCTCGAACCATTTACAGAATTCAAGACAGAATTTTAAAGGATCATCGGCCGTTTCACATTTTCCCATCATCTCATTGAACTTCTGATTTGCTAAAGTTTCTGCTTTCGAGCCATAAGTAGTGTGAGCAAGTGCCTAGAAAGAATATTAAGAAAATTTTACTCAAAACAGACACTAATAAACGCTGAACTCAATCGTTACCGAAAAATGCCAGGAAATAGCAATGTTTCCAATATTCTTTTGTTGCATAACATTAGTAAAGCAATTATATTCGTTTTTGAATTAAGATTGAAATAGTTTGTATGCAACTTTAAGCTGCGCAATCTATCAGCATGAACAACTTTTGTAATCTAGAAAAGTAAATATGCAGTTTGATTAGAATGAAAGAGATTTTGTAGCTGATTTTGTAATCAATTTCGAGAACAATTGAGATACTTCATTCACTGACATATATGAAATGAACGAAAATTAAAGAGAGTCTGAATATTTCAATGGAGGCTTAGAGGTTCACGCTTGCTAGTGGTTCACTTTTTCAGAAAAATTCAATTAATCATTCTTAAACTTGTAGGAATTAACTCCTGATCTGTCAGAGCAAAAATCAACCTCATTGATCGCATCAATTCGACGTCCTGTTTTCAACGGCTTCACATTTTCACGACATAACTCCCATTCGAATTGCGATGGCTGAGACTGTGATGATCCTTCCCCGGAATCACCGGACATCCCCGCGAGCTGAAATATCTATATGAATCTCATTCCTTCCAGAAAAGTCTGTAGCTTCGAAGTAATATAGTCACAACGACGTTGTAGCTTCACCTATGTAAAGCAAGAATGTGACTGCGTATTAGGTTGTTACTTAAGATATCATTCGAGGAACAATGAATTAGAAAAGCACACTTTCCTAAGCTTCCCACAATGATACCTGACTATTTCTAACATATCTGAAAAGTAATCGAAAATCCAAATTCGCTGAGTCAATTCTTTTAAAAGCCCACCTAAAGGACAGAAACTAGGTTAAAAGTATGAGTATTTCATATCGAAATCACCAACTTTGAAAACTTGGAAAATCTCGCGCTCAACCATACGAATAGTCCATGTAGTTAGCACTAGTCCACGTCTGAGGTCGCCCTTAGCAAATTTCTGGAATTTAGATTTGATTTTCATGTTGTTAATTTAAAATCAGCTTATTTGCGTTTTATTATCTGCTTTATTGGACGTTTTACTAGTGTTATATTTTTCTAAGTCGTATGATCTCACTAGACGTTTGGCCAGCTGATTGATTATTTTTGCATCACCCTTTGTTCGATTGGGTCTAGAGTTGTCGTTTTGCTATTTTTCTGAATTTTTTAAAATCTCATTTTCTTTTTTTCTGCGAAATTTCCACTCATTAGTCCTTGTTGGATTTTTTCCAATTCTCTTGTTTTTTGTTAATTTGGGACCGTTTATGTTTGCAGTTCTCAAAAATTTTCTAAGACATCGAAATTTTGGTAGGAAGTTATATATCATCCGAAAAGAGAAGTTTTCTTCTACAGCCAATAGCTTGGCTTTTTCATTTGTGTAGAATTAAAAGCGATTGAAAACGTAGTTTAGAAGGCAAAAAAGCTCAGCCGGCATCCTAATTCTTTTAAGTGAGGAACTCGGGATCCAAAAAGCTGCATTGAGATAATGGGCTATTCCAATTACGAAAGTCAAAGCCATTCTCCACAATAGAACTTTGCTGAGGGATTCGGTAGGTATACGATGCAACAACAAGCTCACTGACTTACCTTCAAAGTGGTTCGATGACGTTAATTAACGCGTTGGTTGAAAAAATTATCATTTCTTATGAT